GAAAACATTGCCATACTCCTTCCTACAAGTGCCTGGGTTTCTTCTCTGGGTGATTTTTTTTCTTTTTTTTCCATTTTAAATAAATCAGTTCAGCAAGAAGATCGAATGCCGCAAGAAGTGGTGCAGGTGAGGCCTGTCGGGTTTCACACTGTGCTGGTGGACAGAAACTCTGCTCAGGAGGGGCAACTGGCTTTGGAAAGAAATAAGGTGGAGGGTGGCTTCTCTGATGCCCAGAAGTGAAAGCATAAGTGTCCGTCTTGCTAAACCTTCACTGCTATACTCGTTATTCCAGTGTTACGAAATAACAAGAAGATACTACTGTGGAGTACCTATTTCTAAATCCTACTGTTTTGTTCCAGAACGAAGGGTATCTTGGTTCTAATTCAGCTGTGCTCTGAGGAGCAATTCAGTAATAACTATCGTGCTTTAAATTCCCACCCTGTATTACTCCTACTTAATTCTCAAGCATAGGCAAATTCTAACTTTCCATTTAGTTTCACTGCTGTAAATCCAGAATAACCCTGTTGAAATAAGCCATGGGTTTTCAGTCGTGCCTATGAAACGTGGCATTTCAAAGGTATGGCTCCGGATTTTACCACACAGATCTGGCCCATGGTGTGTGAAAAGAGACCGTCTGTGTTAATCACCCCAAACCCCTCCCTCGACAGAAGCGGCTTCGAGCAGCACCGCAGTAATGCAACAGGCAGCAGTTCTCACTGCGGCATCGGGAAGAGCAGAACATCAAGGGAGTAATTAACATCTAATTTAGCAGTTAGACCGGGACCTAGGTGGGTTCCTGCATTAAGTAGTTGCCTCCAGAAGCAGGCAAGGTTGGGGCTGCTTGCTCTGCTCTGCTCCACGAGGCTGCCAGGCACCCATCCATCTCTCTGCAGCTCCTCCACAGCCGGGGGAGAGCAGCTCCCATAATGATGCGTTTGAGGCTTGTATCTGTGAATGTTAAAAGGAGCCTGTCTCTTCTTCGACATTAAAGGAAACGCAGGGATAGAAGCACACCCTTACACTCACGCATCTTGCTTAAACTTAGGCAGTGTAAATGGCTTTAGGCACATCTTAATTTTCCTTGAAGCTGAGGCTCTCAGTGTATTCCTCCTTAAATATCTGTCAAAGGCTTGTGGTTTGTGTTGGAGACAATGGCCAACGTGTAACAGGTCTCATCTGAAGAAATGTGATTTGCTCTGTTATATTCTTGGTGACTAATTTCTGCATTCTGAAAGTTTGAGTATCCGTGCATAGCAGAGCACTGGCACCTTCCCTGCCCAGGAGCTGCCTTCAGTGTTCCCATCACTGCCTGTCAGCTCATGGTGAAATAGCCAGATCTTAGAAGATCACGATTTTACATCCCCACCCTGTAGCTTGTGGGATTAAAGCTGGTTGGGATGGTTGGACCATAGGAAGAATAAAGTCTGCATCCTTCTCTTTGGAAAGACTTATGATGAAGCTATGTAACCTTTCCTGTTCCCAAAGGTGGGGACAGGCAGGGGCTCAAGCTCCCTCCTGTGCTCCCTGGTGCCTTCATAGTCACCTCTTGTCCGAGGTCCACTTTGTGCTTCTCTTCAGCTCAGACCCCAACAGCTTCAGCTTTCCGTGGCGTTTGGCTCCTCCCCAAGGAGAGTGCAGAGCTTCAACACTTCTGTCTTTGAATCCTAGACGCAGATTCAGGCTTTGATCATTTATTGCTGTTGAAACATCTTAAGTCCTGCAGCCTCTTGCTGCTCCTCTTTCCTCAGCACCAGGCAGGTGAAATCAGCTGGCCAGGAGCCTGGAGGCTGCACAGCCTCTGCTGTCTGCTTACAGGCTGCTGCTTCTGAGAGTTCAATTCCTCCACTGACTTTCCAGTCTCTTTGTTCAGCCTTTTAAATTTCCCTTTATTGTTTTAGCCTGTCTGCAGATCTGTTTGTTTTTCTTCCAGAAAAGCCTTTGCTTGCTCAATTAGCAAGAGAGCTCTTTGCGGAGAGTGCCATGGCTCTATTTCTACCACGGCTAAGTGCTTCTGGAGCATCTGGCTCCTCCCGGGAGAGGGTTTACCCCTGCCACCCTCACACTGGGTACTGCTTGATGTCTTACTGCACATACTGCTGTATGGTGCCTGCAGAGAATGAGCTCTTGTGACAGAGGAGTTTGAATGTGTTGCTGCGGATCAGGCCAGTCCGTGCTGTCCCAAGCATGATTTTAACTGCAGTTTCTGCTCCCTGCCCTATTGGGTGCATCCTGTGTTTTCTCCACACATGGGCTCTTTCACCATCCAGATTTTTAGACTTGCTTTTGTCTTACTTAATGGTTTTGCCACTTTGTTTAGAGCAGAGGTTATGAGGATACAAGCTGAACCTCTCACATATTGGGAGAGGAAGGCGAGTGCTGGCTGGTGTGGGGCTGGAAATACTTTGGAGGTTTGTGTCTTGCCCACCCTGATCCTGGCCTGAGACACCCCCTGGACATGTCCCCAGCAGCTCAAGAGGGGCTTCTAGAAACAAGCCTGGATGTGGAAGGCACCTCCCTGCCTGTCCCCAGGGCAGATCCAGAGGCTGTCCCCAGCCCCATCCCAGCAGGACAGGCTCTCATGGAGAACTGACCTCCTGCCGCTGGGGAACCTGGTGGGAAACCTTGCAGAAGAGGCTGCAGAAGCCTCTGCCACTCCGTGTGCCTTCAGCGTTTGCCCAGACACAGGATGAAGAATTTCTCCCCTTCGGGGGTCTGTGGCACTTTGTGTTGCTGTTTCCCTGGTTTTGCAGTCTGTCTGAATTGTGGGTTTGCCCTTGCAAGCTGTGGGTTAAAGCCTCATAGGAAACTGTTTACCGTGCTGCTTACACAATCTTCATAGAGTTCAGGGGCTATTTCAGCAAGACATTCCAGAACAGTTCTTCATATTGGCCCCAGTCTGTTTCCCACTTACGTGCTCTAGCAGGAGAGCTCAGACTATGCCGACAGACCCACAGGCTTCTGAGGCTCTTTAGGCACCACGTACAAGTTAATGTCATGACTTCAGGAGTGCCCTGTGAGCACAGGTAAATATTGGGACAGCTTCTGGAGCTTTGCAACCTCGCCATGGACATCAGAGCTGCTTTGGTCTGAAACTGTGGCAGAATTTAGTGTGGTTTTCCGGGCAGAAATCATTCCTGCTTAGGACACCTGCTGTCTGGGGATGTGGCATTGGGATGATGTACACCAGGCCCATCTCTCATAGGATCCTATGATCCCTTTGAAGACCCTGCCCCATGTGAGTGGGAAGGCTCTGAGCTCACCGCTGGCACAGGGGTGACATTTGCCCTTGCTGGAACCAAGTAGTTGTTGGAGCTGGTTATTTGCTTTGTGTGATTGATGACATCTGTATGGCACATAACATTGCTTTGCGAAATGGCCCTTTTATGTGTCAAACTGACTCACAGCGTGACCTGATGAGATGGAAGGGGGTATTTAGGGAACAACTGAAATCCAGTTGATTTTTTTCTTCTATTTTTTCATTCCCCTGGAGCAAAATGCCTTTGTCTGCGGATGGGAACAGGGCACAGTGCCCTGCAGGACCAGCCGGGTCCCTTGTGACAGCCGTGTGGGATGTGGGAGCTGTGCCGCTACCTGCTGCAGCTCTCCACCTCAACCTCTGCCTCGCCAAGGGGAGCCTCTGCAGCTCAGTGTAATCTATCTGATGTAGAGGGTGAGGGAGCAGACCTGTGTTTCCCTGCTGTGTTGCACCCCGCTGTGTGATCTCGGGTTAGCATGAGCCACTCCACAAAGGCATTGAGGCCCTGAGTTCACAGTGAATATGCATCTGAAGGAAATCCAGGTGATTTGTCAGTAGGAAATGGGCATCTAAGATGGATCTGACCCCGCATCTCTTCCTCCAACTGCTTTTTGCTGGTTAGCTTGCACATAAGGTATGCCTTTTACTTTATGAACAGCACCCAGCATACAGTGAGGTCTTTGCAGTCCCACTGTGGTCTTTAGTTACTTGCTTATTGTTAATGCTGGGACTGTGGAACAGGGAAAACTAATGCCTGGCTGGCTCACAGCTTGCTATGATTACAGAGATGGAGTTACTGGAAGGGTGGGCTTTGTCCCATCAACACCTTCCTATCACTGCTGAAGCGATGCTACCCATACATGTCAACACTGAAAGCATATCTCTGCTGCACACAGTTTGTCTACTGGCAACAACTGCTGCAGTGAAAGATGCCCTTTAATTAATGTACTTCCTAACAAGTCATCTGAAAATGGATCTGTGCTTGGAGCCAGGTGCTCCTGCATGTGCTGCAGGGCTGCCTGTGTGAGGAAGGGCTCCCTGTGTGCATGACTGGGTCTTGAGCATTTGACACGTGCCTTCGTACATGTATGATACACACGTGCTGGTGTGTGAGTGCCGTGATGGACAAGACAGGCCATGTGAAGGTGCACCCTTGGCTGCATCCCTGTGCACAGCAGGAAAATCAACAACAGCAACATACTTAAGTGAAAGGGATAGACAGGCCTGAAATGAGTTCAGAGCTGGCCCTTTTGTGTGAATTTGGATAAATGTACAGACCTGCCTTCCCTTCCTCTTCCGAAAGCCTTTCCAAAGCCCAGCACCAAAGGGTGGAAGGACTGCAGGTTTGGATCTCCCCATCCCTTTCCTTTGTGTTGGCCCTGGAAGTAATGAGAGAGTGAGATGTACCAGAGTGCATTTCCTATCCCTGGTAAATCATGAAAGAGAGAAGGCAAAAAGGATTTTGTGCTGAAAATTTGGTGTTAAAATGAATTCACAAGTGTCTCAGAAAACTGAAACCAGACTTGCCTGGCGTGGTGAGCAATGTGCTTTGCACATGTAGTGTTTCTCCTGGTGCTGTGAGAACTGACTGTAGGTATCTTGGGCAGAGCCGAGGAGAGGTACTTGGCACCAGGAGTTGTTACTTTAAGTCCTGCCTGAGGTTGGGCTGAACAAGACATGATCCATCATTTAATGCTTGTTTGTCTGTCTTATTGACTACAGTGAAATGCTTTTGTTTTACCAGGGAAGCCCGAGCATTGCATACGCAAGCCCATCCCATGAGCTTTAAGGATTTGGGCAGAGATGGTGGATGGGAATCCAGCCCAGGCCTTCACAAGCTGCCGTCCCTGCAGGAGCCAGTCCTGTGCTGCTGCAGAGGGTATGTTGCCTCTTTCTACCCTTTAACAAACACAATAAGCAAGAAGTCTCCTGTAGAGGTGTGGTAACTCCATGTGATTCTTGTATATAAACCCACAGCAGCACAAAATCGCCTTGTGCAGCTCCGACCCCTTGGTGAGTCCCAGCCATGCAGTGTGGCTTAGTTGAGCACTCACTGACATCAGGCCATTGCCTTTCCTTTATGCAAGTGATGTTTGTCCATGAGAGCTGAACCAGCAAATGGATCTGCAGGATGAGACTTGAAGCACCATAGAGCAGTGAGAACAGCACCTTTCAGAGTAAGAATTGTGCAGAAAAGCTGGGGGGGAGCAGTGCTGCTTTGGACTGTTCAATAACTCCTGGTTTTCAGTGCTTCGTGGAAAATCAAACACATCCAAAGCTGCTAAAGGAAATCATGTTTTAGGTTGAAGCAAACACTTGATGTTATTTTGAAATACTCTTTTCAGCCTGGGGATGCAATTCGGTTTAGTAGCAGAAAGCCTGTCAAGTAGTGAGCTGAAAAGTTGGCATTTTCAAAGGGAAGTAGAGACAAGCAACTGCTGCACGTGTTCACATAAGTTCCTGCTTATTTCTCTGAGGGTTAATAGGGATGAGGATGTGTCAGCCCTATGCCAGGTAGTGGATTTCAGCCTGCAGCAGCACCAGCTTTTGCAATTTTACCACAAATTCTGTTACAGATGTTTTTCAAAGCTTTGGCTCCTCCTATCCTGTAATTACGTGAGAGTTTCAGTGTTCCCTAAAGCTGAAGGTAAATTGACAACTTTAGTGATTGTACAGAGCAGCTTGAAAACAGGCAGAAAGGTTTCAAAGGAAGAAGGGCAAATAGAGGAAACCCAAAATTACGTTTCTTTGAAATCTCCAGATTTGTAAGGCAAGCGCATGATTTTGTGGCCTAGGACAGGACTGCTAAGTGCTGGCTGTTGGCAGTGCTGTGTTTATTTTCCGTGCTTGGATTTCTGCATGGCTTTAGACACGTTATGAAAAATGCAGTATTTCATGTTGTTTTTTAAAAGGCAGCAGAACACTTGGTTGGATGATCTCCAAACCAGACTGTAGCATACAATGAAAACTATAGCACACTGTAACAAACTACAAAAGGCGGAGATGTTACTGCACCAGCACAAACCCCAGGCACACTATGGAGGAAGAGAATTTTATATCGCTTGTATTTATGGCCAAAAGAGAAAGAAAAAATGCACACTGTGTGTGTATGGTGCATATTGAAATTACAGAACAAAATCCAATTAGATCTTTATACATAAAATCCACATATGCTGATTTATGATGGATTTATTTCTCAGCCTTTGAAACGACGGCTGCCCTCACTTTGGAAACCAGTCATTTGCAGACGTCAGGTCTGTAATTCACAAACTGGCACGACCAGAAGTTTGTGGATTTGAGTCTGGCAAATGCCAGTCCTGGTGTATCTGTTTCAGGGGCACATGTTGGGATTCCCAGTGATGGAGGCAGGGGAGGCAGCGCTGCAAAAGGCATTTATAACAGAGTCTTTATTTCCAAATGTGTGGCTATAAAGATTAACTTGTTAGTTTTGGTCATTAAAAACAACACTAATGTGATACGTAATTATAACCGAAAGAGAAAATGTAGGATCCTTGTAGGCTGTATCTAAATGTCCCCTTCTGTAGCGGGAATACTTCCTGCAGTATTTGCAAGAAGTATGAGACTAGTACCCAAGTCATGAGTGAGAACTACAAGCACATGGGACACAGGCCTTTCTCGTGTGAGACAGAGCACTAGCACTAGATCAAGACCTCTTTAAACGTGCATGTTAGAGGCTTTTACTGCTTCTAACTGTCAGTTTTCCTGAATCGCATTCCTATGCCATGGACTTCCACTTCTTTGCTTCCAGTACTGAGAGCAAGTTCGACACCTGGTTTCCTCTCCACCCCTGAGCAGGTTTGGTGGTTAGTGCCTAAATGACTCCTGAGAACAGCAACTCAAGTGTGATTTCTTGATGTGGTTTGAACCATACTATAGTTTGCTGCTCCTGGAAGAGGGAGATCCTGTTCTTCCATCTGCCTCCCAGCTTCTGGCCACATATTCCTGCTAGTCGAGCTCTGTCACTTGAAGCGGTGGCTGGGCACAGGGTCCCAGTGTGAACTCCTCAGCTTCTGCATGGCCCCCTTGGCTGCCAAGCACACACTTTCCCAAGTACCACTGCTTCCTTTTGCACTGTCCCAGAGTTGCCTCCAGCTGGCACAGAGGTCTGCAGGGAATAAATGCATAAGGACTTGCCACCAGCTAACCAGGAGTGTTACCTGGGAGGTTTTGATCAAAGCCTTGGAGAAAGGTGGTGGCTCAGGGTGAGCCTGAGTGCCAGGCTCTCCTTTCAGCCCTCTAAAACTGCATTAACTTCACATAACACATCTGTTGCAGTTGTAGAAAGAGGAGCTCAGCTGGAGACAAAACAAGAGCCACTTCTAACTGAAGGTAAAATTCTATTTAGAACTTCAAAGTAGAATCCGTAAGGGACTGAGCTGTGCAGCAGGAGACCCACTGGAGGGTGCATTTTGCTGCTGACCACGAGGAGCCTGCAGCAACTGACTTCAGAGAAAGAAATCTGGGGCTGTAACCCCTTTAGCCTCTGCTACAGGAGATGTAAAAGGCTGTGATGGGTCAGTTGTTTAGTTTTACCTGCGATCCTAAAGGCAGGTTTATTTCATCTCTTGAGATTGGTTTGTGTCTTTTACTATGGAGCGGAGCCTTCATGTTACGGGGCCCAGCTTTCCTCTCTGAGTGAGTAAGTAGAGGTTGAATGAGGCTGCTCTCCAAAAGTGGGACTGTCAGTAGATGATGGCTCTGTCTCTGCGATACTGAAAACAGACATGAAGGCACCTTTCACTAACACATTCCATCAATGCTAGAGACTTGTCACACAGGGAGCAAACACCGAGTGAAGCAAAGGAAGCATTTTCAGTTTGCTGCCATGAAAGGAGACAAGATAAATCAATAAGGAACTAAATTAGCACAGCCAGCGGCCCTCACACCTACTTTGGAAACTCTATTAAAATCCATGGCCTAGAATTTGCAGGAGGGATTATATGAGTGAGTCAAGATTTGAGAGTGATCTAATGTGACACCCACTTCTCAAACTGCCTAAAACACTGACTGCCAGGATGCACTGCCAAAGACAAGAGTTCTAGTAGGTATTTGCTGGCTGTCATTGGCCTCAGATAAGTATGTTGGGAGGAGAATAGTGGAGGAGTCAATCAAAAGATAACACTGAGTAAAGCTCAGTTGCATAACACAACAAGAAGTCAAATTTAAGCAAAGCTGAACATATGTCTGAGTACCAAGGGCATAGTGAGGACTGTGATGGCCCAATCAGAATCCAGAGACACTCAGATTTGAGAACAACACACAGGAACAAGATTGGCAAATAGCACATGTGATTGAGCTGGTTGTGCTCTTGTGCTGCTCTTGGGTGACCTTTTTAATTCAACTAAAACGGTATCTGTCCTAGGCGTTTGCAGAAGCTTGTAGATGGATGACAGCATCCCACTGACACCCCGAGGCAGAAGAAGACTTGCTGAAAGTCAACCTGAGGTAAATATTTTCTTGCAGAAATCTGATTATTGTCACAGTGAATGTGGCATTTGCAGGAAGCATCCGGTGTGTGTGATCTGTGCAGTTGTTCTCTACATGCATGGTAATACCAGACACTGGGATTATTGCAGAAGCACAGAGCAGCTCTCCAGGGCCTCATGTGTGTTGTAGAGCTGATCCCTGTGTGTGTGAGAAATCAAGGATTGCCGTAAATCCAGCAATTGCTGCCCCTAACCTCTCTGCTGGGTATTTAGGAATCCTAGGCCAGTGTTTAAGTCACTGCTTCTGCCAGGTAGGATTTGTATGAGGAGAACATGGCAGCTCTGTGCAAAGAAAAGATCTTTGTCCTGGCTCCCAGCCTCTTACTGTTTCACAGCACCTTGAGGAGAATTTCCCTTCCCTCTGGTACTGACAGTAGTGTGCTGGTAAAGCCCTCTGGACTTGCAGGGGTAGAAGAGCTGGATTGGGGCTGGCTGCACAGCTGGATTTTTCAGCTCTGAATGTTTCCAGAGCTTCCCAAGGAAACTGATACATTCAGGCCCTGGCTCTGTGTTGTGAAAAGGGTAGAAACCTCAGAGTCACTTACCCTGTGCCTGCCAGAGGAACTGCAGGGATAAACTAGTCCTGTCCTGCACTGGTTTGGCAGCCTTTTGCAGAAGAGCATGGGCTTCATGCAAGAGCAGAAAGGCACCACTCAGTAGTTACAAGACAGCTTAAAGTTGTCCAAGTAGTTACAGAATGGAGGTTCTGCCAGTCTTGGTTTTACAGCTTCATTTACATTTCTAACGTGCATTGAGCCCTTCACCTGGGAGATGCTATAGAAACACAAGGCATTAATAGCATGGAATATACAGTAAAAACTCAACAATGTAAAACACGTTCAATATTAAGTGGGAAGAGAATTCTCTGCATGCTCTGCCTGGATTTTAAGCATGAATTACATTGCAGCAGCTAAAGGCTATGGAGTATGAATCATAAAGTTGAATTCCACTGCAAAACTGACAAGACAGAGATCTGACCAACATTATGAAGTATGAGAAGTGACTTTAGGAGCCCCTGCTTTGATGAGAAGGATTCTGGAATTGCTTTTCAAAGGTCGGCTGCACAGCGTTGTCAGAACATCAGGCGCCAGGACTGCTCTTCTCTTTTATAAGCCCCCTGATGTGTCTTGTGCATTGGCACTGCACCTCGCTGGGGGAGACTTTGTTTCACAATGGGATATTTGGGCACTGTGGTAATGGGAACTAGGAAAAACTCGGAAGGACTTTCATGCTGAATAACAGCTTATCTTCTGCAATAGCACAAGGGAGAATTCCAGATGTTTTCTTCTGCTTTTTACCTTTTAGAGATTTATAGCAAACATCTTTTAAAAAGATCACAGGGAAAGAAATGTCCATCTTCCCTGTATTCTCT